TAAAATAAAGTCGAGCGCGGTCTTTTCAACTATTGTCCGGATCGGATCAGCCCGATCAAGCAATCATTGTATGGAGTATATGTGAGTTCTTTTAAGCCGTATCCCGGTCGAGCATTTCTGTGTTGATTCAAAATCACTTCCCTTAGAAGCGATTGGTATTTGAAATTAAATTTTCAGCTGAATTTTAACAGATCGGACAGGTTAGAAGAGTTCAAACTTCACTTCTGACAAGCGGAGATGGTCAGCCTTCCTTCGTCACGTTGGTTCAAAAGCGAGGCCAGTTCAGCCTTAGATCAGTAGGTTTACCTTGCGATACATTAATTCTGGTTTTTATTATGACTTACTTAATGTAAGATTTCTTGAAGGTAAGCGTAGTGTTCGATTTTTTTCCTTTAATTTACTTTATATGTGCCTCCAACATATTCGCGCCAAAACCTCCTAAATGCCCGCCAAATTTAATGTGGCGCGCTCGAGAGTGATCGTACAGTGTTTACAAGTTCCACTGGAGGCAATTTTGTGTTACAAAAAGTACCCGTATAACGAAGTCGGAAAGCTCTATTAATTTCGTGCGACATTTTCCGTGTTTCATAATACACGTGCACACGTACACTGTAGCGGCCAAATTGCTATATCTTTGATCTTTTTTCAACTGTTTTGCTTGTAGCCGATGTTTAAATGCTACATCGTGATCCAGTATGATTTATAGTTGTTGCTACATGCTCAGATCTTTGTTTGAATTAATGAGAAAATTATGTTGTAGTTAAAATATTCTTAGCACGACAAGCCAGTAATTATTGCGTCGTATCGCATTATTGCATGCGTTCTCAACACAGGAGCACCCAACGGCAATTTTCGGGAAAATATCTGTTCGGAAGACGATTTGAGATCTAGAATTTTCGGAGCGTTTGTTGTAAAATTTGTTTCTTGCCTGCCTCTCCTAGGATTTTCGAACATCTACAAAATGGTATAATTACCCATTTTTAACGGATTTTGACCCTAAAAAAGGCCACCTAGAATTTTCGGGAGCCTTTTCCTGGCTGAAATTTTCGGGAAGGTAAGTTTTTATCCCTATAATTTTTGGATCACTAGACTTTCAGCTAGGAAATCCGAACAGATGAAAAGTTTTTAGGGGATAAAAATATGCCTATATCTACCGTTTGAATACTAAAATACGTTTAACAAAGCTATGTTAAGTGGTTTTGAACTACATCCTCGTTGGGTGCCCCTGTCAACACAGCCGGACGGAGCTCTGCCTAGGAAAATAATCGTTTTCCTAGTATCGGATAGGCCAACATGACTCCCACTGGTAGCAAACTGTGCTACAGAACCATAAATAGAGCTATTCCAAGTATAAACCTCATAAAAGCGTTTGATTTTGATCAACAAGGAAATGAGTGACTAAAACGCGTTAAAAATAACGCGTTCGTGTTACCCATACCCCTACCGACGGAAATGTACTTTCCAGCGAGGGGGTCCTGGTGTTGCTCGTGATTTGTAAGTCTCTAAAACTTAGCAGCTTTCTTTTTCTTTTATATAATTTTTACACATCATATAGGTGACCTTACAAGTTTGTATCATAAAAAAAATATTAGAGCCTTTTTAAGCCGCGAACAGGATGAAATAAGAGACTTCACCGGCCTTTTCTATAAAAAGGGAATAGTCCCGCTTTAAATTCTGCTCATCAGAAAAAGCTACAACAAAAATTATTTAAATTTATAGTTATTTTAAATTCAATTAAATTTAAATCGCTGTACTTCGTTCATTTGCGGTAAATAAAATAATGCATATTGGTTCTGAGGTATCCCCTGTTTGATAATTTGTGCAAAACTCCTCTATACCGCCACAAGTTTTCCAACTGATGCACTGTTTCGGAGTGATTTTTATTCCATCCGGTTCTTTTCTTTAGTTGCGTTCGTCTCATCAGCTTTATAGCAGTGTCTGCTAAAATGATCCGTTGAAAGCTATGTCGGATAAAGCTTCATAGGAGGTCACGAAAGGAGATTCGCATTTCAGCTCAAGTATGGTTTCAAGCTGTCAACGGTCTATGCCTGGCTGAATTTAAACAATGGTCTTCTGGTAGGATGGTAGCCTGCGTAGCAGGCGTCGAAAGGGGTAGGGGATAGGGAAAAATGGAAAAAGGGAGGGGTGTAGGGGAGAGAGGGGAAGGGACGCCTGCTATAAAAACCCCCTGTTATTCATTTCTGCGGACGCTGGCGTCCGCAAATTCCTGATTGGCTGAGCCGTAATGGGTAACTTATTGGCGTGTATCCTGGCGTGTATTAGTGTGAGAGAGAAACATGACGAAGGCATCAAGAAAATGTGTTCTACTGGCATAAGCTTTGGAAGATCAAAATTACTCCCATCATGTGGCAACTTCACGTTAAAACCCGAACTGGAACCAACTGTAACAGCTTGTTTAGCAGACAGAGGTGCTCAGGAGGTTTTGTATACTGGATTTGTCCATACACCGTGTAGCGATTCAAAGCGATTGCGATTCTTGCCAGACATCTGCAATGCCGATATTCAAAAGACCTCCTTTTCCGCAAAAACGGTAAATTTTTTCCCCGAACGAAGCTAAATATACATATGATACTAATTTTTAAGTTACTAATTTAGTTCGTCGCATGTGAAGATGGACGTTTGTCCCGGAGACGATCTTCAGACGTTATATTCGTCTGAAGTGGCCGGATAGAACGTGTTGGACGTTTCAGAAACTCATTCAGATGAGACGTCAAGCTTTTCATGAACTTAACTCACTAAGTTTGGTTTGTCTCCTGAAAAGCTCGACCGTTTGGCCTCAGATCAGTTCAGGTATGATTTGATGATGTCTTAATTGTTAAAAAAAAGCATCAACTGAAAAAGCGAAATTAAAGAACAAATCGTTCTTCGCCCCAAAGTTCGTTCCACAATGACAACACGCTTGACTGATATTCTCTTATCAGGAAAATATATAAAAATTTATTTCAAAGCTCAATTAATACAAGACATAAATATGTATCTAAAAATTGCATAATTTAAAATAAGAAAGACGAGCGGAAAGTATTTCTCACTGTTGATTTTAACGGGCAATCATGGGATCGTTACGTTGTCTTAAAGCATTGTTACTGACTGAAAACTCTTCTTACTTGTGACGGATACATCAAAAGTAGACCATTCGCCGCTAAGAGATTGTTTAAAATTGACACCTTAGGTTCAGATGCGAACCTTTCGAGGATTGGATCATTGCCATTTTAAGTGTAACTACGTAACGATAAACATGACCTAATTTGGTTACAACAGTTCGTCAGTTGTTTGAAAAGCTTGAATCTACGGCGTGCCGGGCGAACTTTTGAATTCATGACTGTCCAAGGTAACTTGTTTAAAAGACATGCCTTCAAATGGTTCGCCTTAAAGCTAAAACAAGGGTTTGTTGTGTGCTAATAAAACCAAACATCTAAACATAGTGCAACATGTTACCATGACTACCAATAAAGTAAAGGTCATGAACATGGCCGCACTTCGATAAAATCGACTTGTTTTATAACCCTCTGGTTAATTTCCCGAAAGGCCACCAAGAAGTAGCCCGCGAGCAAGCTTTCCTATTTAAGCGAGCGAAAGAAGTAACAGCAACTTTTTGCGGATTTTCTCTTATTAACATAATTATCTGGGATTAACAACTTTCTTTTTCTGCGATAAAAATCCATTGTCAAGTGTTTAAGGAGGAATTTTTTGTTGGCTTCAACTGCTCCCTCCAAAACTACGGCCGAGCTGAATATCTAACAGAAATGCGGTCAATTAATCGGTGAGTTATAACAGACAATCTCCTCATGAATTTGTCAGTGGAATGCAAATCTTCATTAAAAATCCTCCAAAACTGGAAAAAATCCCTGTAGGTTTGAATTCTTGAGTAGAATATTTGACTTAAATAGCACTTTTCAAATACCACAAAGTGCAACATTTTGTTGATGAAAAATAAAAATCTATTTGACACATGCAAAATAACATTAAATAATAGCCGAACATAATCCATTTTCCTCCCTTGAAGTAACCGAAGCGCAAACTTCATAACAAATAAATACAAATTTTAATGGACTTCTGCCTTATCGTTTCCCTTAATCTAAATTGGTCGGTTAAGACGGGCCTGGAGCTGTTGTATACTCGAGGACACGCGATATTTCCAGAATCCCTCTATGGTTTCCTAAGCCGGTATGTTCAAAACAACTAAGCACCTTTTTTGAGTTTCACTGCGAGAGCGTGTTACAAATACATCTCGCCCTCTCCATATAGACCCTTTCTCGAGGTATATGACACATCACTATTTCGTACAATTCTCCCCCAAAGATAGCAAACGTCGTATAATCCCGATCTCTTTAATATCGGTACCCAGAACGACGTGGACATTTGCGTTTATGTCCCTTTGGCGTCCCTGTTGAGGTGCAATAGGCTATTTACGAGTCCCAGAAACTCTCGCTTTCAAAACTGCTTAGTGCAACAGCTTTCTTGTGAAAATTATTTTTGTTCAGCATGAGAATGAAATATCATTTTCATATAAAAGGCTGAGCACTTAACCTCGTTTTGATACAGAGGCCCGGGGAACTCGGAAATGGGCATTAAAGGCCATTTTCATGTCAATGGCTTCTCACTCAACGTTGCTTTTAAAGAGAGGCTTGGGTAACTAAAAAATGGCCAATTAACTCTAACAATGGTCCTGCCTTGGGCATGGACACGGATAAGAAAAGAACTTTGTACTGGTAATGGAGCTATTCGTAACTCTTCTAGACGAAATTGTATTCTCTACATATCCAAATAAAAAATGTTTTTGTTTCAACTTCCTAGTATTTTTACAAATAAAAATTTCCCCTGAATCTTGATTTTACGCTGACTCTCAGTCAAATGGTAAAGCAAAACGTTTCAATCCGTTAGGTGCATCGGTCCGTTAAGCCATTACACTTTGAACTACCCTAGATGCTTAACAAGCAGTTTTGTTGATTCCAGGCCCTCTTCACGGCCGAAAGCGCAAATTAACAAGACTTCTTTCTCTCTGGTCTGCGGCTTCGAAGAAGGAAAGGCGGACTAGCAAATGACCTGCTACCCTCTCCATCAATGAACAGCACTGTAACAATTAAACGGAATCGGTTTCGCCTGTCCGCGTCAACAGTAGAGAGCTTATAAACAGGAGTTCCTTGAGAAGACATGTAAACTGAGTCCAGATCCACTGACAAGAATTGCTAACAACAGAAACAGAATAAGCCGTCAGTTAGAAATGAATTTACCGTAGGTAGCAACTGTCGTTCTTGGAGCTAAGAGTAATAGTACATGGAGCCATAGACAGCAACAATCCGTCGGTAGAGGGTGATAAGACTTTTCCGCTCGTTGCGTAGATAACATACAGTGAGTTTGTTTACTTTCACTGTAATTTTTAGAGAGTTATTATAACTCCAAAAATGGAGTAAAAATTTTAGGCACAGGATAAATCCTTTTTGGGGTTATTGTAACTCCTAATTTAACTCCAATTTTGGGGTCATTTTTACTCCTGAAAAAGAGTTCTTTTTGCTCCTAGCCTGGAGTTAAAATAACTCCGAAAATGAGGTTATTTTTACTCCTTACATGGGTTGTTTTTACTCTTTTTGGAGTTAATTTAACTCTGAAAGTGGAGTAAAAATTTTAGGTACAGGATAACTCCTTTTTGGGGGTCATTTTAACTCCTCAATATCTGAGGTCATTTTTACTCCTGAAAAAGAGTTCTTTAAACTCCTTTTTGAAATTAAAATAACTCCCCCAAAAATAACTCCACTGTAAGGAGTTAAATTAACCCCACTAGAGGAGTTATTATAACTGCTTAAACATTACTGTGTTCGTTTTCCAAGATAAGGTGGGGAGGATTAAAGTATGGGAACGGAAGCTCACAAATGCGGCGCAAATTGCTTTTGCTTCTCGCGCCATGTAACGTAATCTGGATTCCGGAATCGTGGAAATCAGTTTTGCTTGTAGAATCCAGATTTTGGGCTTTGGAATCTGGAATACATTTCAAGTAATCCGGAATTTGACAAACGGTTAGAATCCGGTATCCATGTTCCACTGACAGAGTATTCGAAATCCACGGTGTGGAATTCGGGTTCCAAGACTGTCTTGGATTCCTTTTCATGGGGTGATGCTTTTGCAGTAGAAAGACTATATAGAGGATGGAGTGATAGAGAGATGAACAGCCCCTATCCTAATCTCCTAATGATCATGATAAATTTCCTAATTTTACGATTTCCGATCACTAGCATTTTGCGCACCTTGTTGATCATTTGTGCTCCCAGTTTGACATTCAGTGGAACTCTGCCTGTGACATCACCACTTAAAGCAGCAGCCATTGGAATACGCTCCACGTATACCCCAATGTGTTCAATCTGAGCTTCAGTTTTGATCATGATGCGAACTTTGCCGTCTGCCAACCGCTGCCGTGACTGGCGATTTACACGACTCTGTACCTTTTCATACTCCTGGTAAAAAAGAAAAAAAAGCGAAAAGAACTTTAAGAGTACAGTTGTCTTTTACGTATAAATCAGTAAGCCCACAGCATCCTAACCCTGCTCAATCACACGCCCCAAAAACGCCTTCTTTGAGTAAGAAAAGATGGTCCCTTACAGCCATGCCCGATTTAGATTTACTTACTGACGACCAATCAGAAGCACTACCCAGATCTAAGTAGTGACGCATCATCAGTATGGAATTTCTGCGCTTGTTTCTCAGACGTCATTTGGCGGGCAAACCAGTGGTATCGTTGCCAAATATCGGCTGTTTTCTAAGGCTAGCAATCTTTTATCGGATCGAAATTACGGTGTGGTCGCGATCGAGACCCTAGACTGCTTCGGCTGATAAGAGGATTATCCGTCCTCCCAAATGGCATTTTTACTGCAGTTTTCTTCTCGTGAATAATAGATTTGACGGTGCCCTCCTCCCTATTTCTTTTCACTCGTCTCTGCATGTTCACTCATGGCTGATTCATTGTCTCTTTCATCCTTTCTTTCTGGCATCTTTACTCAATCTGTCGAGTCACTGGCATATCGAATGCAACTATTTGTATATCGTGCCCGTATTAACGTATGTGCTAGTCTGATGTCAGTACTTGCAATGAAACCGATTCTCCGAAGTTTCGTACCCAGAGAAGTAGTCGATGAAGGAAGCTGGTTTTTTTTTGTGGGTTGCAGCCTTTTGAATCAAGCCGCCGTCGATATCGTTGACAAGCTAACTTCGGCTAGAGTGCATGCAAAATTTTGGGAGTTTCCTTGATTCAGATAACGACACATTTCCTATCGATACAAGACGCCCAACGGCGGATGGCAACCGTTCCCAGGGTAACCCCCTGGGGAAGAGGCTGCCTGCTAAACAGAACCCCACCGCCTCCCTCAAAAAAGTTAACTTCTGTTCTGGTCTTAACGCCCAACCCATCCATCCCTTCTTATTCAGGTTATTTCAGATTTCTTTTCGGGGAAGTATTTATTGCTACTTTTCAAAACAGTCTTACCTTTTTTAAACCTAGAAAATGAACTTTGACCTTGGGTTCTGTGGTAGCAGCATACGTTCTGGGGTATTTCTCCGTTTCGGGAGCCCATGTTGGCATTGCGCACGCTCCAAGCTCCTTCCTAAGCATTGGCCGATCCACATCTCTTTCCCAGTCCAGCTCATGCTGATCATCTCTTTCCCAGTCCAGCTCATGCTGATCAAGGTTTTCAATTTTAGGCTTTTTCAATACAGCTATAAAATCCTTTGAATCCCTAAATTGATCAGATTCTGTAAAACAAAGCCGGGGTGAAAACTATTCAGTGGGTACATTCACTGCGAATCCAAAATGCCCCCTTCAATTCTCCTGCTAGTTCCATGTGTTATGTGTTAAATTTTAGTAGGTTCTATGAGGCTTGAATCGAGCTTGAAGCTAAAGAAAGGGCGAGAGGGCGTGGATGGTGGGAGTCGAAATACATTTGCCAAATATGGCTAGTTCGCAAATAATCAAGCCACCAGCTTTTAAAAGTCCTTCAAGAGCCCCAGGTAACAACTGTTCAGCAAGGTTGGGGGGTGGGGGAGGGGGTCAAATATGACAATTGAGATTTCAAGAGTCGTCATCGATATGGGCTGGGTACGTACCTGTCTATGGATCGCGTCCGCAACGGGTCTCTTACTTGGCTCAGCTTTTTAATAAGCAAAAGAGGTGCATGTGGAAGGGGGAGACTCTTCCTCCCTGCCATCATCCTTCGCCTTACATTGGAGCGGGGAAGGCGACTAAGGACGAGTAGAGGATGTTATATCAAGCCATTCCGAAAATTGGCGCAAGCCTTTTGCTCAATAGCAAGCGGTGACAGCCTTAACTGAGTACATACAATTCACAACTGACAGATCATGTTCCTGTTTACTGCATGGTTTCAGATAACTCAGTTGTAACGGAAAGTACTCAATACCACTAAGAATTGGGAGACTATTATTGATGATGGGTCGATATCCCATCGTCTTTAGAATATGGAAGGTCGGAACAGACAAAGCGAGGATATAAAATTTTTGACCGGTCAAAGGTGACCTTCTCTTTTAATAGCGGGAAGATGTACAAATATAATCCGATAAAAACCCGAATATTTTCTAAAAGTATCGAAGAGAGTTTGCGGAAAGAAACTAGTCACTGAGAATAAGTGGATTTCTTTTCAGCTTGAGCTCTTTAAGCCAAAGAATTACTAATTTCAATCAATTACCAAAGTTTTACTGTTTCTTGAAAAAGCTATCCAACTTCAAGTTAGCTTAACTCCAAATACCGAATTAAAAATTATTTTTCATTGTTTACATTTACCTGGTTGTATAAACTCGTCTTGAGGAAAATCTTGCAAAAGGAGATACTTTAACCAAGAATCATAAGAAATCTCCTCTTCCCTCTCCACATGTTCTCTTGTTGTGAGGAAGAAAGTGTTCCGAGACATTTAGTATGTGAAGTTGTTTCCGAGCAGCAAAAACAGCTGATGTAAACTCTGTGAAGGTCTGCTGAATAATACCGGATAACACTTCCTTGTGAGACTAATATACCAACTTTAACTTTACTTGGATTCTCTGAGAGACACGGAAGGACACTCTGATTGGCTAATGACCTTTTCAAAAGTACGTGCTCTTTAAAGCACTTTTTTTGAATCATGTGTCAGCTTTTCCACTCAACAACGACCCTACTGGAGACTTGTCAATAAATGTCTGATATTCCAATTCGCTAAAGGAAGAAAATATCTCTTTTCCTTAGAAACCAAAAATGTATTATGTTGATCTACCTGTAGGGTAGGTTAGCTCATATATTTCTTTTAAAAAGTTTTGAATGACTTGTCAAATTAATTTAATGTGATTGCATCTACATTCAAAGATTTTCAATAGCTTTCAATTGACGTTAATTCCAAGCCTTGCCCTGAATTTCAACTCTTTTATTTGTCTGCATGTGCAGAGACAGAATTTCATTACAGCCCACGTTGCGGTTGTCATGTGTTTATGGTCTTCCACAACAGAGTTGATACTGTGCGTCGTAATGTCTTTCTCAAATTAATTCCTGAACAGAGCTGAAAAATTAAATAAAAGTCTACATAGAGTGATCAGCAAGAAATCTGAACCGCGAAGCTGTTTTAATATGCCAGTCTATTTTTATCTGCCCGAGATCTAGGAGCGGAGAGCACCAATTTTCTCGCTCTATATTTTGAACTCATGACAGGTGTCGTTAATTGAACCAACGTGTCCAATGAACTTTTGTTACAAAACTATTGTGTTAACTTGCTTCTCTATCCTTTTTAAAAAAGTAGACGCAAAAGCAAGGCCATTAGCAAGCAGCCAGTCATCTAGAACGGAAGTAGTAACGTTACGCGGTCTTTTGTCCCGAGTGGTGACAACTGAACGGTTGCTATCGCCGTGTGTTTCAACACATGGGATATTGCTATTTTTTGTCCGAAAAACTAAAACAGTTTTAATATCAAAAGCTGGTGATTTATTTTAATTTTTCGTGTTTAGCTTCCTGTTTTTCTCGTGGTTGGGTTAAGTTACCGCCGATAAAGGCTCAGATGGGAGCCTGGTCGGAACAGATCCTTGGAGACTGAGTATGATCTCACTCTTTGGTGAATTTCACGGGTCATGTGCACTGTAGCGAATAAAAAGACTAAGCCGTGGTCATCAAGATGACCAAAGATAATAACTCAAAAATAAAGTTTTAAAATTTGGGAAAGAAGGACAAGATTTCAGTAATTTTTCTCTTTCAAATAAGGGAGGGAAAGGTCTGGAGGGTCTCGAGTCACGTTTGATTATTTTAAAGCCAAGCTCACCAAAGCTTGTGACTCAATCACGTTACTTAGTAATTTAAAAACTAGCATTCTGACGATATTTTGTTTATTTCCGTTAGTTAAGATCTGTAAATTTCAAGCTGTACTAAGCAGATCTTTAGCTACAATGTATACCAAATTCACGGCCACAGCGGAGAGCGTGCAGGAGCCTAATCAATTCCTACTTAGACAGTCACGATTATCTTCCTTATTTTGCTCAGTCACCGGTTTGCTTCCCTTTTACTTCCGTGTATCATGTGTATTTCGATGGTTCGAGTCCTTGATATCTAAGTTAATACAATGACCGGTTGTCCTTGTCCCTTCTTGTCTGCTTTTTAATTTATTTAATGCACTTTTACTTAAAGAAACTGGGTGTCTGGGCTGGTACCACGTGCCCTATCAATATTATACCGGCTTCAGTATAAAATGCTAAATTGAGATAATGCGTTTAAAAAAGACTTCTAACATTGAGTTTCGGTGAGTCATTTTGCCGCAAAAATAATAATAATAATAAAATATGTTAAGCGATTTTCAGTCTTGACATCCAAGTGACGGGGCAGGCAGCTACGTGGCAAGCAACGCGGAAAAGAACAAAATAAATTTGAGTACGTGACCTAGCAAAAGCCGACAAACTCCGAAAATGCCCCTTATAAATTCTTCCGCCTTGGTGATATAAACAGTGGGACACAATTATTGTAGTCAACGCGGCCGTGGGGTCGGTATACCCTCTACCTTAACTCAAACGTACAAAATCAAAAGAAAGTTTAGAACTTTGTAAATGGATCAAAAACTTTTCTTCATTGATTTGCAGTTAGTGTACGTGAATTGAAGGCGTTTGCAGTCCTTATTCCATTGACCTCTTTATAGCGGGCACATTTTGACTTTATCTGCCTACCTAATGAATTTTGTCCTGTTGGAAAACAGCAAATACGATTAAGATTATTTTTTGAATGACTGAGTCATGACAGCTGTCAAAAAATTCAGCTCTGCAGTGATTACGTGTCCCGTAATCTGTTTTAATGTGGAATAACGTTAATAAAGTTTGGATTATTGAGTCACTGAATCTTTAACTATTGATTCACTATTAAATACCCGTGTCTATAAAACATTAGTCACACTCATCAAATGCGCCCGATAAACTGTATAGCGCTAGCGCTGGCCTCATGAAATATTACGTTATATTCACTCAGGAACACAAGAATCAGGTCTGTGCAATATTTCATATGCGAGATATTCGGGAAAAGTTTTACCCAAATTTATAAAGCTTTGTATAGAGACGCCATGTTTGTGTCCCTTACAGGGGTACAAATATGGCCGCCGGAAACCAACAGAAACATCTGTTTTGGAGTTTTCCTGCTAATGCGTGAATTCTTCGCTTGAAGAACTCATTAAGATTAAAGTAATATTTATTCTCAGACAAGGAATGTTTAGATAGCAAAAATCTCCCAAAATCGGTAATGTTTTTAACCCACATAAGAGCTTCCCTGGCCGTCAGCTAAATGCCACGTCACGCAAAAGCCTGGAAATTCAAGCGTCCAGTGTCGCAAAACGAAGAACCGTTTTGAACCGAAAATTTGTTTGTATAAAGGTTTTAAGGTGCTGTAATAGCACATGAAAGAAGAAACTCAGAAGAAGCGATAGTTTCTTAGTTTGAATTTTGGTGATGTCATCTGAAAACCAAGAATACCGAAAAGCTCTTGTGCGGGCACGAAAACCATGCTGCATAGGGCTTCTGTTCTCACGTAACAGCTAGAACGTTTATTTGGGTGCGATTTCTGTAACGGAGCGAAACTGTGCCGCGCCGATCTCTAAAGTGGAGCATCACTTATCGGATAGTTTCTGTACACTCTTTTTTTTTCATAAGAATGTTGTTTTTCCGGCCCAGGCCGAATATTCTTAAGTATTTTTCTGCCGATTTTAGGCTGAAAATATTCTTGTATTATTCTTAAATTATAGCTTATGACATTTCCGCTTTAGAATTTATTTGGGTATGAATTACAAGTGTTTGGTATCTAGATCTGTATTGCGTTACATTGTGAATTTTTTTTTATTATTGATTTATTTTTTTTTAGTATTTGATTGTAAAACTCCTTGAAGAAGTCTACGTTCGTTAGACGAAACGCGAAGGAGAATAAAACAAGTTTTACAGCAACAGTTTGCAGAGTGCTGACAAATTGTATGGTATTTACAGATGTTTCAACACACAAAATTATATCTATCCTTTTCCTTTTCTTAAAATATTCTTAAAATTTCGCAAATTTCAGCCTCGATATTCTTATAAAATATATTCTTATATAAAAAAAGAGTATACCTCACTTTGGTGCAGTGTGAACAGGGGTATTCGGACCGTAGCGGAAGTGAGCAAGGAATGAAATCCACTGAGACGGAAGTAAATACTCAGGAGTGAGGACAGGGATTTAGTTCACCAAGCCCTCTCGGCCAACCGCTCAGTACGTCACGATCGTCGATGCTTGTAAACGACTTTCTCCATTAC